TAAATCCCATTTGTCGAGCTCTTTCTCTCCCAGGGAGTTGCCCATAAAACCTCTCGTGCCCTGCCACCACATCTGATGAAGGGAGAGTGCCACCTCTGGCACAAGACTCACATCTAATTCAAGAGCATTACTGGGCCCTGAAATATCCTCACTCAGAAGTCACTAAATAACACAGCGCTTCCAGCAGCTTGTCTGAGTACTCCCGGAATCCCTTTCAAATTCCCAAGGATGGACAAGCGGCTTCTGGTTTCTGTAGAGGGCTGAGGTGAGGCCCAGGCACAGGGCTGCCTACTGTGCCAAGCTCTATAAAGCAAGACAAATGAATGAGCCACTGGTTTTTAGGGCAAGAACTGTTGAGGGTTAAGATGTCTTCTTGAGGTTATCCAGGGTGGTGGGCAGTTCATATACATTCCTGTTTCAACTCTCCTGGTGGTTTCAGGAAAAAGCCAGGCGGGGGAACCTATAAGAAATCCAGTGCCATTGACCAGGGATGCTGATGGCTCAGAAGGACCAAATTTGTCTAGACACGCTTTTCAAATAAGGAACCACATTTTATTCAGTGAGTTTCTGACCACCTCAAAAGCTGATGCTGGGAACCTGACCAAGATAGAATAAACACAGATCCTAAGGAAGAGCATGGGATACTGCCCTTCCTTCTTTCTCTGCACAGAAGCCCTTGACTCCATCCTAGGAAAGCATCCGCCTATGTTCAGAGAACCCAAAGACTGACCCAGCTACGGCAGCTGACTAGCCCATTGGCCTTGGGCTAATTATTTAATTTAGGATTGGGTTACTATGACCTAACTGATGTGAGCCTGTCTGGGCATGGGGACATGTGGGCTGTAACCTGAAGGAGATTTATTCATTAAGAGAGGAGGGAAAATGCTGGCAGAAAGGAAGGAAGTCCAGATCTGAATGCCTGAGCGGTGAGCCTGGGTTAGCCCTTGGACCTTCCAACAAGCCCTTGGGGTGCTCTCTGTGGGTCTCGGGAGACAACGCCTACTTTGGCCCAGAGCTACAGAAGCAGGGCTTGGGTGGTCATTAGATTATGCAATGGGTGAACGGGGTGAGAGCTTAGCAATGATGTCTGTGTTGATCATTTTCTCACCATGGCAATCCGGAAAGAAACTTAGTATCCTCACCCTCTTACTGAAGTGACAGTCCATTGTCCCAGCATAAAAACTCATATCCTCAGCTCTGCTCCTACATTCCTGTGCCATCCACCCCAACCCCTTCCCCAGATGCCTGCCTCCTCATAGCTACAAGGTCTTCATTTCTGTTCCTCCAGTGAACAAGCCCTTTGTGACCCAAGCACACCCTGACTCTTTCCTTTCTAGTTCTCCTTCAATACTCATCTCAAATGGGACTCCCTCTGTGAAGGCCCTGCATTGCCCTCTTCACCCCTGCGGGATCAGATACGGACTCAGTCTCTGCTTGCAGAGCACGCTACTTCCCTTCTCTATGGCTTTCCTTGATAATTATCTATTTAACTGCTGCCTGCTGGCTTAACCCCAGTCTTTCCCACTAGGTAATAAGCAGTACGTCTTTGTCACTGGATCCAAGGGCCATTTTGGTGCCTGACACACAGCAGACAACCATCTCAGAAGGATGAAGGTGAGGCGCAGAGAGCAGTTCTGACATCCAGAACACAGTTCCCGTTCACACTTATAAGCCCTCTTGGCCAGCGACCCTGGACATTCCAGCCAACCAGACAGCTTTAGAGAAGCATTAATATCTGAGGACAAAACATGTGCATTCTTTTTAGTTACTTTTGGTTCAGAACACTTCAGAGAATTTGAGAAGAGATAAGCTCCCATGCTGTCCTGGCTTCTCTTGTTAAGAATAGAGCACAATTTGAGTGCATTCCGCTGGCTGTCCCATCCCTGATAACTGCACAGAGAAGAGTCTGTGTGTGGGGGCCTCGGGTCCGACAGCGGTATCCAACCAAGTGCAGGCAGAGACTAAAGAAATGTGCTGACTGGCACTGGGGCCTTGTCTCCTCAATGCACTGGAGACAAAAAGAAAAATATCTGCTTTTGAAAACAATGCATTCATATAGAGCCAAGAATGTCCTGGAGTCAACAGTTGAGCCTTCTTCACTCAGCTGAAGAGGTCCCTGGTCTCAGATGGGTGAGCCAGAGATCTGCTACTTACAGCTCGCTGCCCAGGTCCAGGCAGCTGGCCTTGGCCAAGCACCTATTGCGTGTGGCAGGAGCTTGGGGACACCTGCAGAAGCAGAGCATAGAGAGACAGACAAGGCAGTTCCAGGCTGTGGGAGGCTGGGTGGGCGGTACCCAAGCCAGTTCCTCTGCAGTGGTGGCACACACCTTTAATCCTAGCACTTGGGAGGCAGAGGCAGGAGGATTGCTGAGTTTGAGGCCAGCCTGGTCTACAGAATGAGTTCCAGGACAGGCTCCAAAGCTACACAGAGAAACCCTGTCTTGAAAACAAGACAACAACAATAAAAAAGAATGGATCATTCAGGAAGTCTTTCTGGCATTATAAGTACATTTGTGACAAATATAAATCCTTGCTTGAATAAAATGTTAAGCCCTGAATAATGAGACAAAGTTTTATTCAGCATTTCAATTCAGTGCTGCTTCACTGCACAGAATCTGTGCCTCTCTGACCATCTCACTATTCCAGGATGCTATGGAATAAGCACTCTTTCCCACCTACCAAATCTAGCCCCATCCCAATATTATAATTCATAATCTTTGATTTTGCTTGTAATTATCTTTCCTGTTGTCTAACTCAGTCTCCATTGAAATGCACACTCTAGTGAATTTTAAGAAATTCTGTACATTGAGTGGCTGTCCACTTAAGCATAAATTCCAGAATAAAAGGCACAGGACACATCTACCCCAGCAGCAATTACTTCCCCCAAAACTCAGAGACTAGAAAGGAAGCTAAACTGTCTTCAGCTATCATAGAATCTCTTTTAAGGCCAGCCATTTCCCACAAGAGAGTCTGCTTCTCTGAGCAAAGGCAAAACTAGGCAAGATCAAGGCTGTCTTCCCAAGGCTGCTAGCAGAGCAGCTAACACCTTGAAGCTGGTCTGCCTTTGACCCTCTTAAAAGCCAAGACAGCCACAAAGTGCCCACATTGTGTTTTCTATATGAAGGCCAAGAAACCCTAGTGTTTGTAGAGAACAAGTCAGGAGGGATATTAGGCCTGCATCTCAGCAGGAGTCACCCAGCTTTCTGCCCCTAAGGATTTTCTGTACATCTTCGCCATCTTTCTCCCTTTCACTCTGGAAGTCGTTAGTCTGAACTTGCCTTGTCTGTGGTTTCCATACCTTCACTTGCACAAGGTGATGAAGTCGTGTGAGGCTATGCACGCGGGTGGCTCCGAGGCTCAACCTCTTCCGTTTGGTCCTTGGAACAGATTCTAGCACCACTGAGATCAATGCTACTGCTACACTGTGCTGTACTTTAGGGGTAGACATCTGTCTTCCTGGAAGTTAAAGTAACAGAAAAGCCATCCAATGTAGCTGACTTGGAACAAGTGGGCTGGGGCCTCTGAGGGAAGTGAGTGTTAGTGGGTAGTGGGTCCCCCATCTTTGAGGGTATACTGTTGGAGGGAATTTGGTCCTGGCTCTGCTTTTCATATATTTTTATCATCATTTATTATTGTCATCATTATTACTACTACTATTATTGAGATAAAGTCTCATTGTATATAGCCTAGGCTGTCCCCAAATTCCCAAGGTCATGGCCTGCATCTCCACCAATATCCTGGCAGTGCTAAAGCTCAGTTCCATTCTGAGCCCCTTGTGAAGTTGTTACTGCTTTTCTATCTGGCACTGAGCTATCATTTTGCCAAAGCAACATGGTAGCAGTGAAGGCCAATTATTACCCTTTGGTAACATTGTTTCTTGTAAGTTTGTTCACCAGGGCCTCTTTATAGCTACCCGTTGTACAAAAAATCGGTTTTCATCAGGACTACCTGCTAGGGAGCTGCTGCCCCAGCCAGGTAGCTCTGAGCAGAGAGTTTGCTAGATTCTGAGGTGCGTGGGAGGTATCTTGCCGAAGAGGCTTTGCCTCCTGCCTTTGTCCATTCTGCTCCAGCTTTGTGGGAAAGATATCAAAAAGAACAGCATCAAGAAGTGTTCTCTTTTACTCTCTGCTACCGGCACCTCACACTGGTACTAGGATTTATAGGATGAATTCATTCTCGAGAGTAGGGAGGAGGCTGGTTAAAGAAGAAAAGAGAGGAAAGTCTGCCGCCCGTGTATGAGGACTGGAAGGGGGAGAAACCTTGGGGACAGGTTGCAGGTGAGTCTCCTGGCCCACAGGGGGGTCTGCAAAGATTGCAGATGTTAAAATGGGGCCGTGGTGTACTCCAGTGACCCTCTGCCACTGTAAGCAGTGTCTGGCAGGTGTGACTTTTCAGGAAGAGCCTACAGATTTCGAAGGATTCTCATGGAATCCATGATTCATATCCCCCGACCCAGACTTTCTAGGGTCTCATGTAACCCAGGCTGACTTCGAATTTGCTAAGAACCCAAGGATGACCTTACCTTACACTTCTAATCCTCTTGCCCTAGAGAGGTAGGACTCATGATATATGCTACCATGTCCAGTTTTTATGACTCAGAGGGTCCTATCTGGGACTTCCTGCATTCTAGGCTAGCAGTCTACCAACTAAATAACATCGGCTTCAGCATCATTTTCAGTTAGGATGGTCTTACCCAGGTTGGATTTTCAGAGTTTTAAGCTTCTAGACAGTATTTATATATATATTGCAAATGACACAATTAGGAGGAACAGCCGTCGCTTAGGGTCATTTTTTTTTTTTTTTAAAGAGGCAAAGGGACTCTGCTACCAACAACCCCCTTCTACATACAAGCTGGCTATGTTAAAATCAAGGGACTCCCCTTAAGGCCCAGCAGTTGGAAGCTGAGTCTATATGAGAACCCAGGCTTCCTGATACTTGGAGGGCAAGTCTGCTCAGGGAGAAGCCACTTCCATCTGGCAATTGCCTGGGAAAAGCAAGACATTTGCAGCTCCAGCGTCAGGAGCTCAGCTGGTTATTTCTAGCTTGCTGAATGTCAAAAATCCAGGCTGCTTCTCACAGCAGCCTCCACACGTCAGACCAAATCAAGGCATCAGCACGTCAAGCAGCCAAATCGGCTGCCCCAAGCACCAGCCTGGAGGCGCCGGCCCAGCCTCTTGCAGTGCACCTGACCCGGCCCCCGCGGTGCACCTGACCCAGGAGAGCTGTGTTCAGCTTACTGCGAGCCCTCTGCCCACGCTCTCGGGGCGCGGCTCCCACCTGCAGCCCGCGCCTGGTGCTTGCACAGTATGAAGACTTCACTGGCCTGTGCAGCCGTCTGGGTTTTCCCCTTGTTGGGGCCAGCTGGCAGTCTGCCTGGAGAGAACGTGACCATGGGAGCTAGGCTCTGTCGCTGAGCTCTGACCCCAGTGAAGGGATTTCTGCCTTTCCTCTGGTCTCTTCTGAAATCTCTTGGAACTGTCGCTTGGGTTACCTTGTCTGCCTTGAACAGCTCTCACCCCCAACTCCAGTTCTTTCCTTGGGTTCAAATCACCCTGATTGTTTATGTCTCTGTACACATCAAAGCAATCCCAAGGAGCCACCGAAACTGGAACACTCCAGGCTGAGCGCTACTCTCAGGAGGCTGATGGGCTTTTGTGAGGAGGGCGGATCATGTTTTCATAAGGTAATTTGATGGTCACATTGGACTTTGCTATGTGATAGGAAGCTTCCCAGCCGGGGGTCAGGAAATGAATTTTGCAGGCAGAGGGAATGAGGTTTCCAGGAGAAAAACAGCATCTTGTTAGATCTGTGCATGAAAGGAGGCCAGTACAGAGGGAGAGCAGCAAGTGATGAGCTGGGGGTGGGGGTGGCGCAAAAAGGCTCTTGTGAGCTGAAGGAAGGAGTGTTGACTATCCTGAGGTGATGCAGGGCTTTGGAGGGAGGTAACCCCCTTTTTTAGGTGGTGATTTTGCTTTTATAGATGGGGCTGCAGTAGAACTCCAGAAGGTCCCAGCGGAGAGGCACCTAGTCGTCTGAAGGCAGCAACTGTCTCAAGGGCCTGTGCCCCACTGTCCAGTGACCGTTCAAACCACTCACTTGTCTTGCTCCCTTTTACCCTTGTCTTTCTGCCTGATCAAGACCCTGACCTGGCTGCTATTGGTTTGGCCCTCGTTTTGTTGGTCCTTTCTAACCTGCAGGTAACAGGCAAGGTTGACTGCCCTTTCAAGAATTCCTTTGCCCGTTGACTCAATAAATATTTATGAAGTGTTTGTGTAGGGTGGTATGCTGGTCATCGGAGGCCCCAAAGGCAAGAACACTCGAGTTTTCTGATCCCAATATTTGTCTACTAGTTCCAAACTTAATATCACAAGGGAATTCTCCAGAAAGGTGTTTTTAAAGTCCAGCTGGTTGGGTTTTACCACAGGTTGACTGAATCCGAATGTCTGCCGGCGTGCTGCGGGGGGGGGGGGGGGGGGGGGGTTCTCAGGCTGTGTCATTAAAGCTCCGCTCCAGCTGATGTTACTAAGACAGAAGCACCCAGCCTTACAGGAATACTGTTTACCTTTCTTTTGCAGAGCAGATAGGGGTAAACAAGCCCAGAGTCTGGCCACCCTCTGAGGGACCCCAGGCACTGCCTGTCCTGTTGAACCATGTCTGGAGGTCTTCCTGGAGTTTGAGGACTATCTTTCCAGTTCCTTGTTAAAGACTGTAACTTGAAATCCGATTAAATATTTGTCAGTCGAGGATGGATGGAGTTGTGGGTCATTACTGTGACACCTCAGACACAGATATATTCACAGTCACTTGGGGAGGCAGAAGGACATAATGGGACCAGGAGATAGAGGGCTTAGTTGGTAAAGTAGTTTTACTATGCAAACAGGAGGCTTCCCAGCACCAGAGGAGGCTGTGTGTGTGTGTGGGGGGGGGGGGTGTTTAGAGGGGAGGGAATCAGAGGAGATGTAAAATAAATGAAAAGATTTTAATTAAAAAAAAGTTCAGAATGGTTGTGTATGTTTTTAATCCCTGAGCTAGGGAGGTGAGGCAGGCAGACCCCTGAAGTGTTCTGGGTAGTCATTTATCTTACTCCAGACCAGTGAACAATCCTGTCTCATGGCCACCACCTGAGGAATGGTACCCAAGGCTGTTCTCTAACCTCCACACGTGTGCTTGTATACACGCATGCGTGCGTGCGCGCACACACAGATACACCCCACCATTAGCCACTTCAGACACTAGAAGAGCCGGTTATCTGAGAAACCTGCTGTATCCTGGATACGGAAGCAAACAGAGCAACTAGAAAAGTACTCTGGGTGACACTGGCACGTAAAACAAAATGTCCTCACAATTCCAGACTGGAGAGACGGCTCCGCATGTAAGACACCTGCTACCTTCCCGAGGGCCTGGGTGTGATTCTCAGCACGTTCATGTTGGCTCACAACTGTCTGGGACTCCAGCACCAGGGAGTCCAGTGCCCTGTTCTGGCCTCCACAGGTACCAGGCATTTACATGCTGCACAGACGTAAATGCAGGCAAAACACCCATGCACATAAAATAATAAATACAAAGAGCCGATTTTTGTGTTTTCATGATTAGTGCTGAAATATCCGAGTGTTTCTTCTCCTCAGGGGTGGCTGACACTCCAGAGCACCAGAGTCTTGCACATGGTGATAACACGGATGCTTGATGGGAGATTGTATTTCATCTTCTCCGCTGTTTCCCAGAGATACTGTGGCCTAAAATGGCAGGACTCAAGAGCCTGGATGTACAGGTGAAGGTGACTTTAACCAGGACAAAAATCTCGTGCCACGGTCCAGGGGCAAGTGTCAATTTTGCCCAGCTTGGCCTTAAAGCTGGAGACTGAGGCAGGTAGGAAGAGACTGCAGTTTCCTTGGGGGAGGAGAGGAAGCTGGTTCTCTGTTATAAACCTGTGTGACTCTTTTCAGGCCTGACCACAAAAGGTTTTTACCCAACAGGCCTCACAGGAAAGTGCCGTCTCCACCCCGAGACTCTGCCCTCTCCACTCTGAGACTGAGCATTACAGCTTGTGGAGGGTGCTGCCTCCACAGACCTCAGAACTCTCTTTCTGTTCTTCCAAAATTTACATCCAGAGGCTTTTCTGAGGTGGCTTTCTTAGGCTTCCTGTCTGAGGTCCCCTTACCAGAGCTAAGGAGGGGAGGGAAAGTTTAAGGAACCCACCCACGTCCACTACCGAGGCTCTGTTCGGCTACTCTTTCAGGTCTAGATCTCTCCCGTCTCACCTCCAGAGTCCAGGGCCTCTGATCAGATCACTTTCCTCAGTGAGACGCCCCACACCTGTGCTGGCCTCCTGGGCCTGCACCCCATGCTTGGTCCAGTAGAAACGGAGCGACTCTTGTCTTTACTGCGGCAGTAGGTGACAGAAGACTGAGCTTCCCATTGGGGAATGCTTTAATTAGCCACCCTGACTGCTCTCTCCCCACTCATCTGAGCTCGTAACTGAAGACTCTCCTGCCTGTGCGGAGCAATTACTCAGGCCAGCGGCTCTCTGAGGTGACTTTTTCCCTTCTGTGTTGCCATTTCATTTGCAGATAGTGTGCGTGTGTGTACCTTAACACACCTTCTCTCTTTCTCTTTTACACACACACACACACACACACACACACACACACACACACACATTGACCTAGGATCAGGAGAAGCCCAGCCCAGATCCACCCTTGTCGTTGGGTAGAATCAGCAGGAGCATCAGGAGGGAGAATGAGACAGACACCTGAACTACATGAGGCCTTTGGACTAGGGCTACCTAACCTCAAGGACTCAACTTTTCTAGAATATTTCCTTTACAGAGGAGAAGCAAAGAGCCCATGAGGTAAGTGACTTGGCAGGGGGGTATGGGCAAATGACGACTAGGCTTCTTCCTTTTACTTCCTGGCATGGCTCCTTGTCTGAGCCTTGCCTTCTGGAGCGTAGGAGAAAGTCAGGACTCTGGGAAGTATACAGCCTGACTGGGAAAGGGGCAGAAAGGGGTTCTCAAACTTGAGTGCCCAACGTAATCACTTGGGCTAGCCAACACAGATTTGATGGCCCCACTCGAGAGATACTGACTGAGTAGGCTGGAGTGGGGTCCGATGGTTCACATTGCTTGTGTTTCCACATGCAGCTGATGAGGGACACTGTGGGGTGAGGCGAGGGGGAGAGGAGTGGACTGTCACTAACCAAAAAGTGCGTGAGAATGTGCAGTGAGCGCAGGCCGGCTGGAGGACGAGGTTAAGGGGGACACTGGTGTTAGCTCCGCAGAGGGTCTCTGTTTCCTTTGTTTTTGCCCCACCTTGTACTTCTTAGACATTTTCAAACAGCATTCAAATTCTTACATTTTCTGGGAAATACCAGCTCTGGCCGGTAACTGAGACCAAAGTTACCACTTGCAGGGACTTCTTTGGAGCTGGCAAAAGAGGAAGCCAGAGCCAGTTCCTCTGCCTGCACCCTTCCTCTCTGTCCCCATTCAGACTGCAGCAGGACAGTCGGTCCTGGAGCCCAAACAGCTGCCTGATCACGATATGAACCTACAGCTTTCTGGAAACTTCTCAGACCTTTCTGGCTCCACAGTCACACTGAGCCAAGTGTCAGCCTTGCCACCCCATCTGTAGCAAAGACTTCCACCTACTTTTATTGTTACAAACCACGTGGTTTTTCTGTATCAAAAAGCTGGAAACATTTCCAAGCGCCCCAGGTAGAGCCTGAGACCTAGGGGCCCCTTCCCCCAATCCTGTCCTTCACCCTTGGTGTGGGCTTGGAATATCTTCAAGGATTCCCCTCTGCGTCCCTTCCAGTAAAGCCCGTACGTGGTTGGCACATGGAAGTATCCCTGGAGAGGAGATGGGTGAGGCTCTGGTCACGCTTCCTGAAGCCACAAGAAAGAGGAGCCTGCTGATTCACGAGCAGCTGCTTCCTGAAATGACAATGCCAGGCTGCCCTGAATGGTATTTTTCCAAGATGATGTGAGCTGTTACAACATTCCTGCTGGTCCCCCCTGCATCTTCCTGTAAGTCGGACCAGAAGGTTACCCAAAGCCGCATTCCTGAGCAGCAGAGCACAGGATTCCAGACACAGTGTTTCCAACATGCCTTTACAGCCCTCCCGAGAGCAGGAATCCATTCTTTCCCAGCCTCGGCATGTCATCAGCCACTGCCGAGGGTTTGTCTGGCAGGCCCCAGAGTCACGAGGAAGTGACATGTGTCACTAAGTCAGGTGGGAGACAGGTCCTTTGCAGATTCCCCTATCGGGGGTCAGCTGAAAAGGGAACAGCCCCACGTGTCGCAAAGACACTTTGTCTCAACCCTGCTCTTGCCCTGTCTGACACGGAAAGCTACTGTGGTCTATACTGAATCAGCCTGACTTTTCTCAGAAATAAGGGCACTGGGATGAAGTGCCCCTGCTTTATCCTGGTATCCGTGTCACCATGCAAAATGTCCCTGTAGGACAGCAATTTTCATTCAGAATGGAAAACCTCATGGTTCGACTTCCATCATCCTCTTCTAGCAAAAGGAAAGCCAAGGAGAGTGGAGGTGTCTGGCGATAAGGTAGATGAAACCAAGAAATAGGGGGTCTGCTCTTAGAAGCATTAACTGAACCCTACCCTCCTCTACTATAAACTGGAAAAGGACTTCTTCCTCCCTCCCTTTTCTCTTCCCCCCTTCCTTCCTCCCTCCTTCCTTAATTGATGATTTTGGCATCTTGAGACAGAGAAATGCTGAGCTAAGAGGTCCTACTTTGGGGCTGTCAAGAAGACTCACTGGGAAGATGCACTTGTTTTCAAGTCTGAAGAGCTGAGTTTGAGCCCTGGGATCCTGCAAGTTGTTCTCTGACCTTCGTACATGCGCTATGTGCACACGCACGTGCACACACACACACACACGATTAAAAATAAATAAAACTTAAAAAATAGGACTCTATTTGTAAAACGAATTGGTTATGCTAAAAAAGAGCTGCAATTCATAGCAAGAGCTGGAGGTTTATAAGTTATTCTATTTTTCCTCTTCACAGTCTTCTCAGGTGGGCGGTAAAGTCCCTGCTCCGCAGGCATTCATCGCTGTTGATGCCAAGCACTTTGCATAAGAGACATCCAACCTAGATGGCCATTTAAATGACGAGGGCAAGGGTTAGGAGCAGCGCAGGGTAAAAGCACAGTCAGGTTTGACATCCGTATCTCTTGACTCCCGTGTTCATATTCGGTGGAGCCCGTAAGTATACACTGGCAGTTGCTGCTAACCTTCCCTGAATCAAAGCGATCCCCAGAAGCAAGCCCTGGGACTCCCAGCTGGGCTCTAACATTCTGAGGAGGCAGCTGCCCAGCAGAAAAGCAGGCTGAGCCTGTGGATGCAGGGTTGCTCCTCAGCTCATGGTGGTTCTCCCAGGGCCTGGTCTGGTGCTTTAGTGGGGTGCAAGATGAACAGAGGAGTCCCCTAGGTCATGTCTTACCCTTTGAGGTGGGTGGCAAAAGCTTTTGTAACTCCCTGCTTCCTGCCTTTTACTACAGGTCTATTTCCTCAAAGCTACACTCAAGACCTTGTTTCCAAACAGCTATGGATCTTACCTCTGAGAACACTCCTCTTTTTAAGTTTAATTGGGTTGAGAATTTCATCTACAAGTACTCTATTTACATCATTTCTACCTCTCACTCTCCTCTAGCCAACTCCTTCCACTGAATTCATGATCTCTTCTTCTGTAATTATTATTACTTTACACGACACACACACATACACACACACAGCACTTACTGAGTCCATTTTTAGTCTTACATATGT